AACACGCATTTGGGGTGACATTGAAACTACGATTTTAACTTTTTAGAAGCTCTTATCAGTGCAAGTGCCAATTTCTCTAAATGTGGATACCTAGTTTATGCTTCTCCTAAGGTTCGACTTACATAATAAACTGGAAATTGCGTACCTTGCTCTTCTTGAACTAGGACACCACTTACCGCGATTTTTGATACTGCCAAGTATAAGTAAAGTTTCTCATCTGCCTTTGGAGTGTGAAGCAGTGGTAGACTTGATAGGTATCGCTTCAGTTCCTCCAATGCCTGTTGGCATTCCGGGGTCCAGGCGAAATCATTCTTCTTTTTGAGTAAGAGAAAATGCGTGGCTTCAATCCCACGACCTTGAGATGAATCAACCTAAAGCAGCTATCCGTCCAGTTAGCCTCTACACGTTTTTTGCACTGTCTACGATGGTGATGTCTTCGATAACCTTGATTTTGTCGGGGTTGATCTCGATTCCTCGATTTGTCACTATGAAGCCTAGGAATTTGCACGAACCGACCCTAAAAGCACATTTCTCGGGGTTAAGCTTTATGTTATATTTCCTTAGAATCTCAAACGTTTTCTGAGCCAAATGGTCCTTTACGCATAGGGACTTAACTAGCATGTCATGGATATAAACTTCCATTGACTTACCTATTTGTTCTTCGAATATTTTATTTACTAGGCGTTGGTAAGTAGCTCATGCGTTTTTTAGCCTGCAGGGCATTACATTATAACAATATGTTCCATACTTGGTGATAAATGAAGTCTTTTTCTGGTCTTCCGGGTTCATTTGAATTTGATTGTACCCGTAATAGGTATCGAGAAAGGTAAGGATCTTGTGGCCAGCCGTGGCATCAATCATGAGATCGATATTAGGCAATGGAAAAGAATCTTTGGGGCATGCTTGTTTAACTCTTTATAATCTACACACATTCTAAGTTTGTTCCCTTTTTTAGGGACTACGACTACGTTGGCGAACCATTTGGTATACTTTACCTCCCGAATAGACCCTATTTTGAGAAGTTTAGTTACCTCATCCTTTATGAATGCATGCTTTACCTCGGATTGGGGCCTTCTCTTTTGCTTCACCGGTTTGAACCTAGGGTCAAGGCTTAGCTGATGCGTTGTTATCTCCGGTAGGATCCCTATCATGTCTAAATGGGACCAAGAAAAACAATCTATGTTATCAATAAGAAATTGAATAAGCTTTTTCCTGAGTTCGGGGGTTAATCCCGTTCCCAGGTATACTTTTTGCTCGGGCAGGTACTCGATCAATATAACCTGTTCCAGCTCTTCGACCGTTGATTTGGTGGCGTCAAAATCTTCGGGAACAATAAAAGTTCGAGGAGTTAGAAAATCTTCTTCTTCTTTTATCCCCTGCTTTCCTGATTCGATCGAGGCTAGTGGTTGTGATTGCTATTTGGATTCATCTTTACCTTTGATGCTCGACCTTTTCGAGGTTGATATCGGTGTTACCTCATCGACCGCAAACATTTTCTTTGCGGCATGCTGCTCCCCGTATACTATTTTTACACCATTCGTCGTCGGGAATTTCATTATTTGGTAGAGAGTCGAGGGGACTGCCCTCATGTTGTGGATCCAAGGCCACCCGAGTAGGGCATTATACCTTATGTCGCCTTCGATCACGTGGAATTTGGTATCTTGAATGGTTCCAGCCACAATCACTAGCAAAATATTCTCCCCTTTAGTTGTTTCACTAGCCATGTTGAAGTCGTTTAAGACCCGAGCTGCGGGCACGATTTGATCTTGCAGGCCGAGTTGCTCCACGACCCTCGATCGGATAATATTCATCGAGCTACCCAGATCCACTAAAATACGCTTAACTTGAACTTTATTCAATAAGATAGAAATTACCAGAGCGTTATTGTGTGGCTGAGAAATGCCTTCTATTTCTTCTTCGTTGAATGATAAAGAGCCTTCGGGCATATAATCTCGGGTTCATTTTTCCCTGGTGATTGATACCTTAGTTCGTTTGAATATGGGTCCCTGTGGAATGTCGACCTCACCGACGATCATATGAATGACATGCTGTGGTTCCTCCAGTTCATTTTTCCTATTGGTATCCCATTCTCTGAAATGACTCTTGGCTCGATCACTGAGGAACTCTCGAAGGTGGCCCTTATTGAATAGACGGGCTACCTCCTCTCTTAATTTCCTGTAATCCTCGGTCTTGTGACCATGCGTGCAATGATACTTACACATCAAATTTGGGTTTCTTTGGGAAGGATCGGTCTGTATGGGTCTGGGCCACCTAGTGTCTTTGATCCTTCCGATTGCCGATACAATGCCCGATGCGTTGATGCTAAAGTTATATTCCGATAACCGAGGTGCCTCTATGGGATCGACATGCTTATCAAAACCACTTTGCTCATAAGTCCCCGAGAATTCTGTCCTCGATCACTTCTTCGATTGTTTCGGGCGGAATTGCATCCTTAACCATTGTTCCTTCGATCTGCGGTATATGGTTGATATTGTTCTCTGTTCGACCTTTGCTCCATGTCGAAGTCACTCGGGGTTTTAACTGCCGACCTGTTTGGATGTACTGAACCGGAAGGGGCTCCTAATTGGTCGTCCTCGACCCTGATCTTTGATTGATATGGATTGTGCACATTTGCCCAAGTTACAGCTGGATACTCGACCAAATTTTGCTTCAACTATCGCGATGCTATCGAACTCCGCTCGTTTAACCCATGGGTGAAAGCTTGAACAACCCAATCATCTCTGATCAATGGAAACTCCATGCGTTCCATTTTAAATTGGGATACGAACTCTCTGAGTATTTCGTTATCCCTTTGTCTTACCTTGAAAACGTCCGATTTTCTTGTTGCGACCTTTATGGCCCCGACGTGTGCCTTCACGAAAGAATCTGCTAACATGGAAAATGAGTCGATAGAATTTGGTGGCAGGTTGTGATACCAAATCATTGCTCCCTTTGATAAAATTTCCCCAAATTTTTTCAACAAAACGGACTCAATCTCATCATTATCTAAGTCATTTCCCTTTATTCTGCATATGCACGAAGTGATGTGTTCATTAGGATCGGTGGTCCCATTGTATTTAGGTATCTCCGGCATACGAAACTTCTTAGGAATGGACTTCGGAGCCGCACTCTAAGGAAAAGACTTTTGCATGAACTTTTTCGAATCCAAACCCTTTAAGATCGGGGGTGCCCCCGGTATCTGATCAACTCGGGAGTTGTATGTTTCCACTTTTTTATCATTATCTTCGATTTTCTTCTCACCCGACTCAATTCTTTTGGTGAGCTCCTCGAGCATTTTCATTATTGTGGGATCAGTCCCTAATTCATTACCATTTGATCTTTCCGGCACTAGCTCGGTACGATGAGTGATTTCTGGATCGACCACACTTGGAGTCCTATATTGATTTTGCAATTGAGCAATAGCGGTCTGTTGAGCCTGTAACATCTCGAATATTATTTGGAGGCTAACTCTTCCGTCTTCTCTGCCCTGTGTACCTTGGCCACCAGATCGGCTATCTCTACATACACTCCATTCGGGGTCCGCGCCTAGGTCCGAATTTAAAGCAACGTGCGAACTGATATCAATTGGATCGGCGATCGGTGCTCCTCCAAGATTAGCCGGTGGCACCCCAGCTCATGGAGCAATTACATTGTCGTTTTCCCGTGAAATCCGAGACCATTATCACCCTATACAGGTGCGTTTTGTGAGTTTGACATGTTTTAACCTGAGAGAAAAAAATACTTGACAAGAACAAGTGTGAAATAATGTGTGTTATTAGAATCAACACTAAAACAATCACTATTATCCTTAGCCCACGGTGGGAGCTAAACTGTTTACTCTAAAATTCGAGTAACAATTAAACTTACAAAGTGATTTTAAGGATATGTGATTTAATCCAATACCAATTGATAAACAAGGAATTAACATAAGTAAATTAGAGAACAAAGTAAATCAAACCAGTATGCGAGCCAAATCTCGACCTCGACCTATGATAGTCCCGAGTTGTGATAATAGAGCAACTCTGATGAATAGTACGTGAAATAGCAAGAAAGTAATGAGCATATATTTTCTTCTCAGTGAACAATATTTTTTACAAATGAATGAGATCCCCCTTTATATAATAGGGGAATCCTAAATAAGGTACCCTTCTAATCATAGTAGGAAATTATATTTGACAACTGTTTAATCGCCAAAGACCAATCCATTCTGAAATTCACGCAGTGATCTCTGGCCCATCGCGAATATCTCGCTCTTTCTGTTACTGAATCATACCGGCATCATCTCGAAGCATGCCTTCTTCTAACCTCGGTAAGTGATATCCACCTCGACCTTGGAAAGGAACTTCAACCCCGAGCTCGACGTCCTGGTCTTCCGACATGGTATCACTTTTTCCATCGAAGAACAAAATCGGGTAGTCCCGATTTCCACCGTATACAACTAATTGGTTAAATCTTGATAATATTTTTTTTTAATATTTTTGTGGTTAAGCAAATAACCTGAAATGACTTCTCAATTAAATTTAATAGGACTTTTGAAAGAGTGGTTAGTTTTAGAGTTTAGGACTAAAAATATTCACTTTTTTCATCTTTCCGTCTGATATTTGTTCGTTATCGGTTTTTTGCCCGTATTTTTTTTTGAACGGATTCATCGTCCTATTTGGACTGCATTCCAAAACAATCAGGCTTGTAGATAGCGCCTTGTGGTACGACAGAATAGCACGCAGTGTACTAGTAAATAGGATAAGTGAATTGAGATTATTAATATCGGATGGAGGTTAAAGATAAAATATGTTAGATGTCTCGCCCTTGTCTCCTTCACATAAACTAAAAATAATTGGAATCCTATGAATAAAGAAGAGGCATAAGTATCGCCTCTTGATCTAATAGTGGCTTCCCAACACTCTTGATACAAAAGAAACCTAAACTATTTCTGGTAAAAAAAAATAAATCAAGGACCAAAAGTAGTCTCACTCATATACTTTGAGGACCATTTTCATCATTTTCTCTAATATCGTTACAATTCGGTTTTAGAAGAGTTATCCAAGTCGTTAGTAACTTCCAGAACTTCCTACTCCAATGGACCCCGAAACCCAACTGGCAAACTCTACTCCCTTCGCCGCCGGCGATGATTCTGACGGTCACAACGAAGAGCGGCGAAAACTTTGCTCTAAATGTAACAGACCAATAAAAGTGTGTTTATGCAGCATAATTCCACCGGAACCAATCGCAACTATTACTCGAATCGTAATCCTTCACCATCCGCACGAGCAACGGCACAAGCTCGCCACAGTCCCTGTTCTATCCAAGTGCCTCCACAAATGCGACGTTATAGTTGGCCGGAGATTACGCTACGGCGATTCAGAAATTCTCGATTCTCTTCACGATGTTGCTATTCTTAACCCTAATTTTCCGCACAGAGCAATTTATCTGTTTCCTGGTATGAAGTTATTCGAAAAACTTACTTCTTGAGTGAACGAGTTTAATCTTTTTGAATTTTATTTGAGATTGTATTGTTGGTAATTTAGGGCCAGTGTTGGTAGAGCTAGATTAGTTGTGATTAATTTGTTGTAAAAGACGAATTTTAGATGTGTTGTTGAGTATCAGAATGAAATGTGTCTAAATGGAGCAGAATGGTTATTTAGGATTCATATAGCTTACCCGAAGTAATTGGGATTGAGGTTTTTTGTTGTCTGTTAATAATTGAGAATAGTGAATTGCTATATCTAGCTGAAAAAAGAAAATGTACTCACTTGGAAGATGATTTGCTACTTAGCAGAAGAGAAAACAGAGGAAAAGGATTTACTTTAATTGAAAGTAAAAGGGAAGTCATAAATTGTAGGTCCGTATGGAATGCAGTGCTTTTAATTTGATATTATTTATGTGAGTGTTCTCTATGTATAAAGCTAATGGTACCAGGAAGACTCAAGAATGAGAAATGGTTATCAGTGTTTACTGTGTAGAGATAAAGGTACCTTGAAGAATGAGAACGGATGGTTACAGAAAATGAGAACGATTTCTTCGTGCTTAGACAGAAATTTAGTGTAAGCACCATGGCACTAAGACACACCTCGTCACTCATGAGTTTTGTCTTTGAAGAGAGCGAGACTAAACAATAAATATAGTTAAACGTTATGAATGATTATATTTGTGATCATGAATAGAAAATTAAATTTAGTGTAAGAATATTGCTCAAAAAATTAGATTAGAAACTTAGAATTGCATTTTCCATCCTAATAAAAAATTTAAATTGATTTTGAATTTGACGAGATATGAGTTTGCTTGACATATTCTACTCAACTGTTATATCTTTTAATTCCTTTATATAAATAATGGTCTTTTATATCTACAGTTATTATTTTCCCATTACTTATATATGCTTTAACTGTTTTCTTCATCTGTGCCTATCTTCTCAGAAGCTAATGCTTCAACTCCACTTTTCTCTTAAAGCTCCAGTAGACTTTAGTGCTTTTCTGTGCGTTTCCCCTTTACAATTTTACCAAAATGAAAAATCTCAAAAAAGATGAAAGGTACTGAATTTGGTCATATAAATGAGCTTAAACATGTCTAAGTTGTATGTGTTGTCATATAACAATACCAAACTATGAGGGTGTTTGTATTGGGTTAAAAGCTGGCCAAATTAGCTTAAAAGTACTTTTTGGCTTGTTTTAGTGTAGGGCAAATATAAAAAGTGCTTTTAAGCGAAAACAACTTAAAATAAGCCAAAAGCAATAAGTTGGTCTACTCCAACTTATTGCTTTTTGACTTAAGAGCACTTGGGGTTTGACCAAACCAATTACATTTTTATCCCTTTCTCATTCGTCTTTGTCTATCCGTTTGACCTGCAATTGCTTCCATGTCGAGTGCTCACATTTTGAGAAGCTCTTTTTCACTTCTTCTTTTGAATCCCTTTCCATTAAACTAGTAAGATTGCAAAGAGATAAAATAAAAAGCTTTTGGTGGTTGAATGAAATTATGGCAAAAATATTTTAAGGAAAGAAGGTAGGAAAAAAGATGCTTCCATTTGCCCAATTTACATGCTTAACACTAGGGTTTATCTTAATATAGTTTGTACACCACGACAGGTTACCTATGTTTTTTCTTTGACGGAGAATATTGCATATGAACATATGGTGAAGATCTGGTCAAAGGGAAAAAAATATCTTTCATAAATTAAAACAATTTTATCTAACAACTTTATAACTTAAAATATGTTAAAACATAAATTAATTTGTACCAATTTCAATTTAGAATTAAAATTTGGTAATAATTAATTTATTTTATATTTAACAGTTTGAGGACATTTTAGTTATTTTAATAGAAAATAGTGCTCATCAGCACTTTTTCTCCAAACCCACCAACAACTTATTTTAAGCTTCAACACTTCTAGCCAAACACGTAATTGCTTCATTTTGAATTCAGTTCCATCACTTCAAAAGTGCTTTTAAGCCCAAATACTTAAAAGCTACTTTTATTCAGCTAATCCAAACGGGCTCTATATCTAGGGATATAACCAATATCATCCTTGGACCAAATTTCTTTTGACTGTTAATCTGGATCCTCATGCTATAATTATTCAATCATGTCAAATGAAATAGTTGGTTGATGACCATTTTTCATGCACACCAACCTTGTAGTGGCACTCTCATCGCCTCAACCCTGCAGCATGCACGCCAAGAGAAACAATGTCCTTTACTTCATTTATTTTCTGATTTTTCCTGGTTGTTGACTAATGGGAAAAAGTTATGTGACTGTGACTCCTCATGTGACTGTGACTCTTCAGGTGCTGATACATCACCATCTCAGGAAATCAATCATTGGAAATCCTCGAAACATATTGTAGAGATGAGCAACTACGTCTTGATTTCTTTTGATGGAACTTGGAAGCACGCTCGAGAGATGATGCGTGCAAGCTTATCATTTTTGTCAAAGTTTGCTGTCCAGGTTCACTTAGACTCTGATGTTGGCAATGACGGCGGGACGATCTTCAATTCTGATTTAATTCTTAGGAAGGAACCATTTAGTGGATGCATGAGTACCATGGAGGCAGTAGCACATTGCTTACGGATTCTTGAGCCTAATGGCATTGATATAGAGTCAAGTTTGATAGAGGTTTTAAGAAGTATGGTCAAGTTTCAGGCTTCTTTTCTCAAGCCTATGAAGCCTAGGCCAAAGTTGATAAAAGGAGGACGAGAGGGAAAAACATAATTGCCTTGTTCCATCTTCTTTGCACTACTGAAGCAACATGCACAAGGATAGCCTCAAATTCTGTTTTGGTTTGCATGTACCGGACTGCTCACAGTTATCCAGCCTGTACCTGGTACTTGTTCCAAGATTCACTGGTTTCAACTTCCAATTCATATATATCACTGATGGGTTTTATTAGGAAATTCAATATCCTCATTCTGCTTGTGCTTAGATCCTCTGAATACCTTGACTTGATAGTTTGAGGCTTATATGTTGTCTAATATGTTTAGATCCTTTGATATGTCAATGCTGTTGTGCTGAAGATCTTATTTGGTTTAGAACATATGTTTGTTCTTGAGTTCTTGGATCTATAGAGATATTACAATTTTCGAAGTCATTTTGTAGCAAATGAAGTGCTAGGATGCCAAATGGTTGCAAAATTTTTATTAATGTTCTGGATTGGCAGTTACTATGAATTACAATCTCACTCTTCCTGTTACAATTCACTATATAGGTATCCCGATTGAGCAAAAGGCATGACCATGAGGTGCTTTGATGAGGTTATTCAAATTCTTCAGTTGCCGAAAACCTTGCCAGGCGGTGTTTTGATTGGTGGGTATATGGCAGTAACCTGCTTATGCGGCAGTTGTCTCTCATGCTGCTTTTCTCCAGCCTCAATGGCATCTTGTTTCAGGTCAAATTTCTGTAAAGTAGTCAGCCTGGGAAATCTGAATCTTGGGCTTTGATTTCTTTGATGAGCACTTGGAAGCAAGCTAAGGAACTTACATGACATTAACCACTGTTTGCTGCCTAGTTTTATCACATATTTGCAAGTTAGTTGGCTGATGATCTTCAATTTGGACATGGTCTGCACAAGAATAATGGGGCCAAGTTCGAGTAAAAGAACCAAAGTGCAATTCCTAATGTCAAATCTGTGAAGCATTGGCTTCATCTGCTGCTTCAAAGAGGGCAAAGAGGACGTCTAAAAGATTAATGAGACCGAATGTCTTCAGATGAAGTTTTAATTTGGTTTCCTAGTACTGTTTAAGTAGTTTGTTCTGTCTTAGTGGTGGTGGTGTAATTATCATTTAGTTGTTTGTTTCAATTCATGGCGATTAGTCTTAACTCTTTAAGCAGTTGCAGCCAGTGGCGAAATTTGCCCAGTCGCGTAAAAGCACCCTCTAGTCACAAATTGATACTTTATTTAAGAAGGAATAAGTAAGAAATTATTATACAAAACATGGCAGTTCAAACATACGATTGAGAAGTCTTTTGACACTTGGGATAGGAGTTTTGTTTAAAAAAATAGTTTAGTGACTTTTGCAATGTTTAGATAAAGTTAGAATGATATTTCCATCATAAAAATTGGTTTAGTGATTTTAACGCAATCTTCTACGAAACAGCTGAGTAATCCAAATAAAATGGTTTAGGGCTCTCTTGCTGTTCATATAACTGTCACACCTTAACTGCCAGACTCGCTCGCCTTCTATACCTCCATCATTATTGTAGATTGTACGCACACACTCTCTTTCGTTTCTTCGTAAGAATTATCAAATCTTATGAAAAATGTTCAAATGTTAGGAAGAGCAAGGAAATTCATTGGCATTCATCTAGCATTTCCCTTTGGTGTCTCCATCTCAGTTATTCTTTGCCCTTTGCTATGAAGGAAAATTCAGTGTTTGGTTACCTTGAATTGCTGAAATATAAGGCACTTAAAAGTATCTCATTCTTAATTCGTGCACTAGCTTCAATCAATACCTGAATATTGCTATAAGCATTAAATGCTCAAAAATAATTTCATCATACCCTATCGTAAATCAATTTTACCATTACAATATTTCATATTCTTCCACAGTTACTCAAACAAATAGTGGAAACTAATTCAAAATGATTTGATTTCTCCTTGTTCCGAATGCAATATATTTGCATGCTACTAATTATGATGTCAAAAAAATTTCCTTCTTAGTTAAGATTGACTAGTTTATCACATTAATATGTAGTAAACAATTATGTTGATGTTAATGAAGTCTGTAGTTTGTTGCACAGATCACAATGGAATAATTTTCTGTACATGTACATTTTCTCATGTTTCTGTGCAGACTGTGATTTATTTGGAAGTTTGAGCTGAAGTCTGTAACAGGACAGATTTTGCTCAATGTCTAGCTCTGTGAAAGCTTTGGAACCTGGGTGCTGGCCAGAAACCCTATTCTTAGTTCCGAGAATTCCATTAATTAAATGAAGGGAAGTTCAAATGAGCATGGATCAGTAATTGTGATCCTGTTAGTGCTTTTATTTTTCATGTTATATTGTTTCTACTACCAAATTCAGTGGTGAAATTTTATAATTCTTAACTTAACTCTATTTAGAGGTATGAATAATTATTCAATTCTATTCTATCATTCTTAGCAACAGCTCAACCAGATTATTATATTTTCTTTCTAAAGTTTGGTTACTATGTTAGGATGAAGCAGGAACTGCTGTGTTCTTGGAGGACGAGCAGTACAGCATAGGGAAATCCATGGTCATGAATCGGACAAGTTTTCGGCATACTTTAAGCCGTGCATCATACCATTAGACGTAGGTGTTGCATCGATCTGGATTCAAGATACCGGAGGAGGAAGTATCTGCAACGTGATTGTATATATGCAACGGAAGTCACTACAACATTATACACATATAGCTATGAAATCTTACCTATAAATTTAAATATCGTGGCTAGTACCTAATAATAGCCACAAAAATTTGAATTACGTGGCTATTTACAAATTTATAAAATTTCATAGCCACAACTATTATATTGGCAAAGCTAATTCATTATTTTTGCTATAATTGATAACAATTGTGACAATAATTACCTAAATAGCTACAAATTTATTGCTACAGTAAAATTTCATAGCTAAATATAATTTTTTGCCACATGATAAAAATTACTATAGCAATAGTAGTCTTTTAGCTACAAAAGATTATTTAAAGCAAAATATTATAGCTAAATAAATATTTTGCTTCGAATTATAAAAAAATCGTGGCAATTATTTGAAAACTTGCTGCACTAGCTCATCATTTGGAAATATTCTTTAGCCGTGGTTGAAAGTAATATATCTGAGCTTAGATTATTATTAGGTCCCCTTTTCTAGGTGCTCGCGCGCTAAATCATGACGATGTGTTCATTCTGGATACTGAAGACAAAATATATCCAGGAGTGTGATGTTGCAATTATTGGTAAGTAGAAGCCACAATTTGAAATACTTGAAGTAATTCATATATTTGTTGTTATTACTGGTTTCAGTCATTATTACCTGAAAGTTAGGTCGATGCTACTTTGACATCTATAGGATTATGAACATTGATTGATACCATTTTTAACCATCCTATGAATATGTAAGTGTTTACCCTCAAAATCGGATAACAATAGAATTATACGCGATTTTAAGAATACGTGATCTAATTTGATACAAATTGAAAAAATAGATTAATATTGAAATCAATGACAGAAAAGTTAATGCAAACCACACAAGTTGAACAGTCTTAGCCTTGAAGATTAGTCATTCTCAAGTCAAAAAGTGCCTCAATCGATGTCGGAACAAAATGACAAGATAATAAGAACTAGAAATAACAGTATATTGCTTTAGGATGCGTGTTACAATATTCCTTACAAAATAATCAGATCACATTTATATAGTAGGAGAGTCCTAATTAAGATACAATTCTATAAAAGGTAAGAAATCTCGTGATTTGCTAACTAATCGGTCTCCCATTGATACGTGCCGAGATTCCTGTCGTGATATCTGACCGGTTGCGGATATTTCGGCCTTCCGTTATTTGGTCCGATAATGTCTCCTCGAGCTCATTTACGGTCGGTTCCGGAGTCATGGGCTCGAAGATCTTGAAGATGTATGTTCCAACTTCGTACTTTGGCTCAATGGAACCCGGGGCCAATCTTCAGTCCATCACGTTTCAGTCCTGATCCATCATGCAATAGATGAGCCCAGTTTCGACCATATATAGATAGTCCCCTCATTTTTCGGAGGGTAAACGACGAAAAATGATATGAGCCCTTGATTTTCGTCTCGATACTTCGAGCCAGAAACGACAAAATTAACGAAACGTCTTGTTAGTCACGTCTTAATGGCATTAAATGCTCGTCAGTTGCTGGTCGGCCATTACAGGTTTTGAACTGTCGTTTGCAAACTATAAATACCTCCTCATTATCTCATTCAAACTTTACTTTCAAAACCTCTAACCTCGTAAATTAGAAATTTCTATATTCTCAAACATCCACTTTCTGATCACGCTGAAATCACTTTACAAGAACCTGTGTTCTTTACCCCAAATTGTCAAGCATATCCCTTTAACTCCCTTTTTTCCTTTAACCTTCTAAAAAAAGAAAAAATGGCGAAGACCTCAAACTATGTTCCCCAAAAAGAAACTCCCTCTGCCTCACGACCGACTGAAGAGGAAAATATTTCATCTGCTGCTACTGATGAAAAGACACCGGAGCCCTCCTTAACTATGTTTGTTCTTGCGGGGTGCCCAACCAGTGTTGACTTCAAAGTCAAGAAAACCTCTTCCGTTCGGGCCGGTGCGAGCTGGTCTCGAGATACATATGCTCGATCACTGACAATCTCCTCTCCAAAAGTCAACGAAGATTGTAATCGGTAAGCACGTGATGGTGCCTATGCCTGAGGAATCGATCACTACCCACGTGGAGGGTTTTCTGAGTGTTTACACTTATCCCTTCATGTTGGGCCCTCTGGACCCTGTCATCATCGCTTTCTGTAAGAGGTACGAGGTGACCCTTGGTCAAATTCATCTCTCTTTCGAGAGGATAGTGATTCTCCTCCGCTTCTTCGTAAGCAAAATCGAGAAGTGTCCCTTCACCATCGATCATCTCATGCGTCTGTACATTCCCCGACTCTATTGAGAGGGACTAATAAAACTTGCCCGTCGGGCCTCTAAAGCCTCATTCTCGAGCATAGATGTGGATCGAGACTGAGGCTGGTTGGGCTGATTTGTTCGAGTGAAAACCTCAGATTTAATCTCGGCTAAGGATATGCCATTTCCTGATAAATGGAACATGAAACGTAAGTATAACTTTGCCTTTAAAATTTCATTTATTGCTCTTATCGATGTTTTTGTGGAGAAGCTGTTGCTCGAATGCAGGATGTAGTTCTTTGACTCAAGGAGTGGGTCGAGGGCATCGTGTCGCAGAAGCCTTATTTCGAGCGCACGTGGCACAAACTTTCAAAGGGCTGGTGGGAGGCCCGTTCTCACAGTAAGACCCTTTCCTAGAATAGACAACACTTGGGCTTCTTCCGAGCTTACTCATTTCTTTTTCTTTATAGGCCTTGGGAAGGATGTTGTAATGAGGCCCCCGTCCGGAGATGAAGACTTCCTCCCCCAATCACCTGCTCTAAAGCAGGGTAAAAAGAAGAAAAGAAAAGGGGCTCCGAATTCCCCGAACTCGGAGAAGCAAAAATCGAAAGCAGACAGGTGCACAAATCCAAAGAAAGCACCGACGCCCTCCCATTGGGCTTAGTAAATCGACTAAGGGATGAGTCCGAAGAAGAAGAAGATGCTTTCAAGATGGTGGCCCGTGTGCTAGGCAACACCGCATTGCCTCAAGCCATGGAGGCTGCTGAGGGTGCAGTGGCCGAGGCCTCCGAGCCAGAGAGGAGCGATGCCATTTTGCCCCAAATTGGGGAGGCCGATCAAGACGCTACGACTGTTATTTCTCGGGCTGAGGATGATGCTTCGAAGGATGTGCTCGGGGTGGTATACCTCTCCGAGTCTCCACTATTTACCAACTCCATGATCTGTGACGCCCAAGCGCTAAGAGGGCACCTAGCTGAGGGGCCCCAAGGGGTGGCAGACCCCTTTGACCATATCTTAGATGGTTTGGATTCTTCTGCCTTGGAGGACGTCACCGGGTTGGGCAACTTACCGGTACCAAAGAAAGATCCGCTTTTAGGAACCGACGAGTTTTTTCGAGTCTGAAATTAGTAGACCGGTTCCCATCTTCGAGTATATATCCTAGCCGAAAGCAGATATTTATTATGTCCATACCGGAGAATGCTTGGGTTCTCTCTGCCCCCGTGGGGGTTTCAAACTATATTCGGTGCTTGTTGACCGAAGAGGACCAGGCCAAGATGGACAAAATGGAGGT